AAAAAAAAAAAAAAAAAAAAAAAAAAAGAAACAGAAAATAATTGAACGTTCTTCCTTCAGTTTGTTTATCAAGCCTGGATTACTGATCCTAAAACAGCACTCCGACAGAGACGCAAAGAGAAAAAGCGGTCTGCAAGAGAAGAACAGAAGCGAAGGCGAAAAGGATCTGGGGAAGGTGAGTGCAGGCGGTTAGGGAGCAGTGGTTCACAGGCAGTGTTTTCTGTTCCTGTTGCCCCGGAAATACAGAGGGAAATGGCAAATCACAGGTGCTTCAGAGGGATGAAATCTTAAATTCTAAAGAGTGCAAAGAGGCTCATGTGCCCTGTGTTCATACCTGTCACTTGGAATAAATTAAGGCATGAATTCAAGTTAAGATAGGTAAAATGGGAAGAGAAGAAAGGATCAGAATAAACCCAAAGAAGGTAGAAAGAAAAGGCTAATTTTAAAGTGAATATTAAGTAATTAAAAAAGAAATGCAAGATAAGACCTGATCATTTAAGTTAAAAGCTGTTCTTGGAAAAAAGTAAGAGAGATAAACCTTTGGCAAGTACATCAAGAAAAAAAAGGAAAGACCACTTCAATATTCAGGAACAACAACAGAAAACTGGGACATAGCTACCAGCACTATATTCAGCATTATATCAGTACACTTGAAAACATGTAATAATTCAACCCAATATATGAAAGGATACAAAAAAATAATTCACAGAACAGAAAACAAAAACTGACCAAAATGTGCTCAGCCTCACTAATAATATGAGAAACATACACCAAACATTTTGACATACTGTTTTTCTACCTATTGGATTGGCAAGAACCTAAACATTTGATGATATCATGGTTTGGGAGCTTTTGGGAAGATAAATACATGTACGTGACATGAGTGGTGGTGTAACGTAGTATATCCACTTTGAAGAGCCACGTGTCAGTGTCTAGTAACATTTCAAATGTATGTATTATACTGTAGCTCAATCCCACTTTTAGATGTATGACTTGACCTGAAGTGATACTTTACATGTGCACAAGCACACATATCTAAGCATATTCATCAACCTTCTTAGTTAATAACAAAGATTTGGAAGCATCTTAAATGTTCATATAAACAAGAGTTAAATAAAATATGTTACCAATATGTTATAAAATACTATGCAGCAGTTAAAAATGAAATGTTTAGATCTGAACTGTCATGGGAAACAATTTCTTACTCATTCTTAAGTAAAAAACAATACATTGCAAAATGGCATGCTCAGTAGGAAGCCATTCATTAAACAAAGAAAACCAAAGTGTCTGGAGACAATATTTTTCACAGTATTTTTCATTTGTAGCAAGTACCTATAATAATATTAAATGCAAAAGAAAGATCAGGTATAATCCTTGGCAAGTTAATAGCACTGATTACCTCTTGGGAGAGAGGAGATTAAGAGAAATGATTGGGACTAGCAGTTAGTGTAATGACTTTGTCGTTGGACTCCCATGTAGTCTAGCATGGTTCAAGTCCCGGACCCGGTGGCTTAAACTCACGCTGGGCACATGTGCATGTGTGTCCCAAATCCGAAGAAGAGAATGGAGGAGAAGGGATTGTAGTGTGGCCATCCCCCCTGGCGGATGATTTCTCGCTTTCTGTCTCTATGTCTCTCTCTGTCTTTCTAGTGAGTATGCATGCTCTATAGCAAAAACTTCTCAAAAAAAATAAAGAGAGAGAGATATGATTGGACCAGTAGATGGTTTAGTGTTTATGTTGCTAGACTCCTACTTGGTGGACCACAGTTCAATCTCAGACCTGGTGGTTTAAAAATCATGCCAGGCATGTGTGCATGCATGCCCAAGATTCCAGGAGGAATATGGAGGAGAAGGGATTGCAAGTTGGCCATCACCCCAAGGGATGATTTCTCACTTTCCCTATCACTATATCACCTCTCTCTCTTTTTGGGGAATGTACATGCCTGGAGGGGGGGGTATTGATAGAGAGAGATTAGAAACTTTAGGCTTATATATTATATTTTGGTTCTTTACCCAAAAAGTATATTCTATGTTCCTTGTGAAATTTAAAAGATTCAAAAAATAAAAGGAAAACATAACTTCTAATGGAATTCTAATTGCAAAAACTGACCTCTTTTTTTTTTACTTTCTTTCTCCTGCTACCTCCTGGTATCTCTAATTTAATTTTATTGTGTCCAAAAGGTAAAATTAATACACATCTGATGGGGCAAGTCAAGCAGTAAATTGGTAAATGTGCAATCTGTCACAACCCAGTCCCACCAAAAACTACCTTCTGAGTCACAAATCCTAAGTGCATACTGTCTTTACTTTGACTCCTTTTTCAAAAATGAGTTTATGCCTTATAAAACTCTTATATTTTCATTAGTAATATGTTACAAACATTTTTCCAATGAACTAGTTATAAAACCATACCATTCTTTTTAATAGCTGCAAAATGGTCTATAGTACAGATATGCATAATTTATTTAATGAATCTATCTTTAATGGACACAAAATATGCTTCAAGATTTTTGCCATAATGAACAATGCTATAGTAGATATCTCTGCACACACAAAAAAATCTGTGTACTCAGATACTCACAAATGTGTGTGTTTGTGTGTGTGTTTTTATTTAAACACATAGCAAAGGTAAGGAAAAAAATTACTTCCAACAGAATAGATTCTTTAAAGTTAAAGGACTACTGAGTCAAAAGGTATGCCTCTTCTTATTTGTGGTTTTCATTCCTAGGTATGAGAGACAAGAGTGTCTATTCCCCATAGTCTTATATCACAGGCTATCACTGTTCTTTTTATTGTGTTTCTTTCTGGAGGATGACAGATATCCTGTTTTCATTTGAATGGAGTTGAATTCCCAACTTATGAGAGTGAACATTTTTTATTTCATGTGTTCTTGGTAATTTTTACTTCCAAGGGTAAGATTTAAACATGTTACCATTTTTTTCTTATTATTTTGTAGAGATGTTTGTTCTTTATTATTAACTTAATATGCTAGGTTTATTACTCTTTTTTCATGAGTTATTTTTTCCCTATCTGATGCTTATATTAGACTTAGTTTATCATGTATGTTATCTATGCAATTTTTAATTTTTCTGAAATCAAGTGGCTCTAAATCTCTTTTTGTACTTCCTAGATTTTCATCTGGTTAAAGGAAGTATCTCCCCCTAAAGTTATGGGCCTTTTTAAAAATTTTCTATTAATTTTATTTACATTTTGAATTGCTCTTATCTTATAAAGATCTGATTTGTTTACTTTTTTTTTTTTTGAGAGGTTTTTGCCAGACAGAGAGAGACAGAGAGACAGAAAGCAGGAAATCACCCCCCAGGGGGGTGGCCACACTGCAATCCCCTCCCCTCCGTTCTCCCCTCGGGATCTTGGGCATGCGCACACACATGCCCGGCGTGAGTTCTAAGCCACCGGGTCTGGGACTCAAACCGCGGTCGACTACGTGGGAGTCGAGCGACATAGCCATTACGCTTACTGCTGGTCCCTGATTTGTTTTCTTTTAAATGGATAGAAAATTCTCCCATTTCTCATGGGGAAAATTCAAAAGTTTGTGGCAAACTGTAGTTAAAGGGCAGTGAGATGTATGGTGGTTAGAGCAGCTGGATCCCATATAGTCTACTATGCCATCCGAATCCCAGACCTGGTGACTTGAAAAATATGCTTGTTACATGTGCTTGCCCAAAATTCAAGGGGGCGATGGAAGGGAGAGGATTGCAGCATGGCCATCCTCCCTGGGGGAGGGGGTGTGTGACTTCTTGCTCTCCCTTTTTCTCAGTCTGACTTCAGTGAACACATGCACCCTATAGCAAACTTAAAAAAAAAAAAAAGGAATTGAAGTATAAGTTTACTTTGAGGCCAACAAAAATTGAAATAGTTTTCTCAAAATGTGCATTTTCTATTAATTTTTGAAGCCCCTGCATATTTATTAGTGAAATTTTTCTTTCTATTGGATCTAGTGTTACTAGTATCGAACTTTCATTTATGCTTAGGTATGTTTGGAGACTGTATCCTTATCTGTATTTTTGATTGCAGTAGCTCTAGCATTAGTTTTAAAATTTAGTGAGATAAACTCCCCTCACTACTTTTCTTTCCAAAATTGTGTGTGGTATTCTCATATATTTAGCTTTTCTAAACTTTTGTGACCAGTTCTGAGAAGTTATGACTTAAAAATTGATGACTTAAAGTCACCTTAAAAATAGCTCATTACTTTATGTCTGGAAGATTCTTTCTTTCTTTTTTTTTTTTTTTAGAGGTTTTTGCCTTAGGGCATGATCACTTGCCAGAGAGACAAAGACATTGAGAGGAAAGTGAGAAATTACCTCCGGGGGGTATTGGACATGCCCAATCCCTTCTCCTCTATTCTTCTTCCGGGATCTTGGGCACACATGCACACACACCCAGCATGATTTCAAGTCAGGGACTCAAATCTCAGTCAGCCATGTAAGAGTCCAGTGACATAAGTGATATGCCATCTGCTGGCCACTGGAAGCTTATTTCATTCGCACCATTATATACCTATAAGTCAGACAGTAATAATTTAGAGATACTGAAACTGAAACAAATTTATTTAAATACAAACACAAATGAATTTCTAGTCAACATTTTTTTGGTGTAAGTATCATCTCATCTAGGTTTCTCCCAAATGGATGAAGGACACAGATTCTGTTTTCCTGAAGTGTTCGGTGCTATCGAAAGTACTTTGTGTGTAGTAACTCCTCTTGTCTTTACAAGAATCTAGGGGTATTTTATCATCCCTGCTGTACAGATTAGGTAATGAGGTTCCAGACAGTGCAGCAACTTGCCTGAGGGCACACAGCCATTCATCCCAGATAACTTGGCTCTAAAGCCTCCTGTCTTCACATATAGAGAAGACAGATATAGTGGAAAAAATCCTAATTGTATACAAACTGCAAATTTTCACTAAAAAAAGAAAAGTACCGATAAAATAGTGTAGGACCAAAAGGAGAGAGGATTTCTTTTAGTCAAGCATATTAGGGAAAGTTTTATGAAAAAGATAGGGTTTAATAGAGGCTGACAATCTGGCAGAAGAAGGGTAAACCATGCATAAATGGGGTTGGGAGGAGATCAGCTTAGCAGATAAAGACACGACATGAAACACCAGTAGAAAATAGAAAATAGGATAGTAGAAAAGCAGTTTGAGAAGATGAACTAGAGTCAGCTCTTGAATAGTCTTAGGTAGTACTCCCAGATCAAAGATAAGAGTCCAATTAAAGTATTTAACATAAATAACAATGTTTAATTTAAGTATAATGTGAATATATTTCGTGGAACATATGTATAGATTAAAAAAATTACTTCTTCATCTGAAATTTAAATTTAACTAAGTGTCCTATGCTTTTATTTGATAGATCTGAACCTTAAATAAAAGAATAAGAAATAAAATGAATTTCTATATTGTCATTTTAAGATATGACCAACCAAAATTTGTAACATCATCCTAAAGTTAGGACTTAAAGGACCAGACAGTCAATATTGGCCACAGTCTCTTCTCATCCATTCTCCTCTCGGGATTTTTTTAGGCATGCACTCACCCACACCCATTGAGTTTTTTAATCCACTGGATCCTAACCACCATGCCACCTGCTGGCCTTCAGACAGTAAATATTTTAAGCTTTTCATACGTGAAGTCTCTGTTGCACTCAACTCAGCCTTTTGTAGGGGGAAGGTAGCCATAGTCAATATACAGACAAATGGAAGTGTCTCTATTCCTTTAAAATTCAAATGTCATGTAATTTTCATATGTACCATTCTGAATTCATAAGCTTTCTAACAGCAATAATCTGGCCATATGTGGCTAGTGGTTTGTAGTTTACCCACCCAGAGTTTACTCTGGAGTGGAATAGAGATTCTGAAACTTATAAATTCATACAGGTTTCCTCAAGAACTCTTAAAATAGGCAGATTCCTAGATTTAATTATAAAGTTCCTTTTAATATAGAATAGTATTGGCATTCCATTTACCCTACAATGAATTTAACTCATCTTTATTGAACACACTTGGCAGGTCCTGTGGAATGGGAAGGCCGAGAGGATGAACCAATCAAAAAGAAATCTGATGGACCAGGTAAGAAAATAAAGACAAGTATGAGCAGGGAAATGAAGTTGACCCTTGCCCAGATAGTATATAATGGAAGACTGCCTGAAAAATCATGAATCCAACACTGTGTCTGGACTATGAGTAAATCATCAGTGTCCCTCGAATTGTGATTCCTACTGAAATCGCTAGTGACTCTCAAAACCAAATCTGGCCTTTACACTATTGCATTACTGTTGGCTTTTAAATTCCTTTATGTAAATACCTATGGAGGATTGTAGGGAGAAAATTATGAATGTTCCATGAAAGTCATCAAGATAGAGGCACACAAAAAAATCAAGTGAAACTGGCAATTAATTTTAAACAACAATAAAAGAATTTCAATGGGAAGGGTTCTGGAAGTGTGGGAATGGCCCTGTTTTAGGAGGGGAAAAGCACGTCCCAGTGATGTGGTGACTTGCTCAGGGTTCATAGCTACTATGTGACAGCCAGAGAGAGAAATCTTGTCTTCTAACTACCTGCCTACTCATGTGCTACCTGGACTTCTCATAGAATGTGATTTGAAGGCGTTTCTTCCTCATAGGATGGTAAAGGAAAAGACAAAGCACAGGCCTCCAAATGAAATGAGCTCAATATGTTTCTAGTTCCATAAACACATCATGCCCTTGACTTCACTTTGGAACTCCTGAGCAATTATTTATCAGCAAGCAAGACTGTCAGGTCTTTTACTCCCTCAAAAGGCTTCCAAGGCTGCCATCTGCTGGCACAGAGTGAAACTAACCCAAGGCAGTCGACCACCCTCTGCGGTGCCTTGACTCAAATCCTGCCTTCAACTTCCAGGTAATCAAATATCCATAAGAAAGGATCTTCGGAAAGTTCATTTAAAATGCATATTATTAAAAACATTATCCATGGACTTCAAAAAATCATGGCACCAAAATAAATTCATACTTTAATTCTATTTTCTGTGAACTCGTTGAAGTGCCCATATTTTATATTGTTACAACACTTCATAGAATAATAGTATCTAACACAATAAATTGTACATCTTATTGGCCAGTTGCTTTTCCAAGAGCTTTAGGCATACGACATGTTTAATGCCCTCGGATACCCTCTTTTCCCATTTCACAGATAAAGGAACCAACAGTGAGAAAGAGAGAGGAGACAGAGATAGAGAGAAAGAGAGAGACATTGGCTTTTACGAATATATACGGACACAAAGGGATAGAATGGGATTTCAACACAGGGAGTGAGTCTGAATCCAGAGTCTGTGCTTTTGACTACTGTGCCCTACTTCCACTGGAGTTAAATATATAAACTTAAAATTAAAGCCCTAATTCCACACAGCTTGTGATGACCCAGATTAACAAAGTGTGTGTTATTCATATCACCAGTGTAGCCATCATAACTTTCTCATCCTGTCCACTGTAGCAAAACTATAGTTTGTCTTAACTACTTTTAAGAAAATAATTGTGAATAGAAGAAAAAAAGTAAGTTGTTAGAAATATAAGAGGTCTTCAAAATATCCCTGGAAAATGTATATTATGGAAAAAAATGCATGGATTTCAAAAAATGCTGACCAAAATAAACTTGTACCTTAATTCTATTTTTCTGTAAGCTTTTTGAAGTTCCCTCATGTAAAGAACAGTGGATTAATAGGTGTAACCCCAAATCCTTCAGCCTTCAGGAATCAAGCTTCCCTTTTATGTCTGTGCAAAAGAGAAGTTCTATCCAAACAAGGTGGGGAATACATGCCTTGCTCAAGATTTATTTATTTAAAGGGGGTGGGTCGGATAGAGAAACGTGGGCATTCATGGCATCTGTGGTTCAGGTTTGCTCTTCTATGGACTCTGCAGCCCCTCCCTTCACCCACACCGAGTGGCTGCTGGTCTCTGTGCCTCTTTATTCAGCAAAGGGTATTCACTCTCTTTTCCTTACTTCCTAAATCATACCTGCTGTAAGGCTGTTTGGTGTAACCCAGATTCCCAAGGGCCTGTGGGACGGCAAAATAGTGACAGCGTAGTCAGGAAAGCCTTTGAAAGGTACAACCATCATCTCTGCTCTGCCTCGCGGGGTCCACCAGGGCCTGGCTGACTATCAGGCCACTGGAGCCCCTTCTCCCTTCTCCTTCTCCAGATTACCAAACTGGCTCCCCAGGTAGGAGCTGGAACTTCGAGATTGCTGTTGCTTTATGAGGTGGTTCTGATTTAACTCTTCTGTGTCTCTACCTGGCCCACCTGGACTCTTTCCAGAGGCCATACCCTCCATAGCTAAATTTCTTTTTATGTTTTTTTTCTTTCTTTATTTATTTCTTTCTTAAAGACAATACCTCACCAAATCACAAGCCTGCTGAGTAGCTGGAACCACAGGTGCATGCCAGTATTCCACACTCATTTTCAGTATAGCCTCAAGCATGAGACTCTCCTGCCTCAGCTTCCCTGAGTCACTGGCATTACAGGTGTGCACCACTACACCTAGCTTTTAGGTGGGTTAGGAATATAATCCAGGCCTCCCCTGTGGTCCCAGCCTACTAGCGTAGTGTCAACCACCACACTAGACCCAATGCTTTTCCGTGTGTGTGTGTGTGTGTGTGTGTGTGTGTTTGTGTGTGTTTAAGCTTACTTATTCATTTCCTCCATGAGAGAGAGAGAGATACAGCATTCCAAATAGGGTCTTCATGCCATGATCTACCCCCAGTCCTAGCTAGCCTAGGTCACAGGCATGTGTGCACCCAACATGTACAGAAAGTCCCTGAGATACAATCCAAGGGCCTTTCTGTGTGGGGCCAGTTTTGTTACTGCTGTGCCACACTCTGGCCTCTCCATGCTTTTCCTTTCATGTGCCCTATGGCAAACTTAAGAATGAATGAATGAATGATTTAAAAAAAAAAAAAGAGTGAGTCTTCAACCATCATGTCTATTACCTTAGGTCAGGGTCAGCAAACTTACAGCTTTGGGCCAAGTTGGACATGCCATCTGCTTTTCTATGACTTTTTAGCAAATGGTGATTTTTTTAAAAAATATATTTATTTATTTATTTATTTATTTATTTATTTTTGCTATCAGGCGCATGCACTCACCAGAAAGAGACAGACAGGAGGAAAGAAAGCAAACCACTAGCTTCAGGACTTGCACCATGGTCAGCCAACCCCTTAACCACTGTGCCATCTGCTGGCCCTGAGCAAATGATGCTTTTTATATTTTTAATGTTTGGGTAAAAAATCAAAAGGAGAAGAGCATTTCATGACATACGGAAGTTATGAACTATAACTATGAGAATGCCCATTAGTAAAGTTTTATTGAGAACCAGTCATGCTTGTTCACAGTCAATCCATTGTGGCAGCTGGCACGCCTTAGCAAGAATCAAGTCCCTGCCACAGAGAGTGTGGCCCTTGAAGCCAAAGTTATTTACTGCCAGTGCTGGACAGACAATGTTTGTTGAACCCTGTACAATATCATAAAGGCTTTTATCAGTGAATTTTGCACTATTCTATACTCTAATGATAATTTAAAACTACAATTTTAATAATCATTAGTGATAAATTTATTAACATTTTGCTATGACATTTAAATCTGATTTCTTTCTTTTTCTTTTTTTTGATGTAATAGAACGGTGAAGGATGTAAGTTATTATTCTTAGTGATGGTGGGCTTTTTTTTTAATGAACAGTAAGGCTTTTTTTTTTTTTTTTAGAGAGGAGAGGTTTTTGCTATAGGGTGTGTGCGCTCATCACACAGAGAGAGAGAGAGAGACAGAAAGTGAGAAATCACCACCCCAAGGGATGGCCATGCCACAATCCCTTCTTCTCTGTTCTCCTATTGGGATCTTGGGCACACACGCACACACGCCCAGCATGAGTTTAAGCCACCAGGTCTAGGACTTGAACCACTGTTGACTACATGGGAGTCCAGCAACATAGCCACGCCAACTGCTGGTCCCAAGTAAGGCAATTCTTAATTCATGATCATGTTTAGTAAGTATTCACCTTATTACACCCAATTTTTATTTATAACAGTTAATAAAATAAATTTATAAAATAACAGGGACCAGTAGTTAGCATAATGGCTATGTCACTGAACTCTCAAGTAGTCAACCGAGGTTCAAGTCCCTGACCCGGTGGTTTAAACTCACACCAGGCGCATGTGCGTGCATGCCCAAGATTCCAAGAGGAGAATGGATGATAAGGGATTGATGCATGACCATCACCCCTGGGGGTAATTTCTTGCTTTCTATCTCTCTGTCTCTCTCTCTCTCTCTTTCTGGTGAGTGCACACGCCCTATAGCAAAAAAAAATAATCAAAAAATTTATAAAATGACTATTGAAAAAATTTCACTTTGATTAAAATTTTGTGGCATGTCTTGAAAGGTTCCTCATATATCTTAGGTTTACACAAATGAGTAGGAAAGACAGTCAAATGTGGTATATCTTTTATTTTGACTCTTTTTTTTCCATTTTATTTTTGTTTTTGCCATAAGGCACCTAGAGAGAGGCAGAAAGAGGTAAAGTGAGAAATCACTCCCCAGGGGAGATGACCACAGTACCATCTCTTCTTCCCCATTCTCTTCCTGGAATTTTGGGCTTGTATTCACAAATGCCCAGTGTGACTTTCACACCACTGGGTCTGGACCAAACTGCAAAATTGGTGATGTGTGAGTCTAGCTCCTTAACCACAATGCCACCTGCTGGCCCCTATTTTGACTCATTTTTTACTGTATAAGGTGTACAACATGCTGTTTTAACACACATATACGTAATGATTTGATTATTAGAGTCAAGCAAATTAACCTATTCAACACCTTCTACTGTTACCTTTTTTGTATGTGGTTAAGAGTGACCTAAAAGTGGGACCAGCAGTTAGCGTAATGGCTATGTCACTGGACTCCCATGTAGTCGACCGCAGTTCGAGTCCTGGACCCAGTGGCTTAAACTCAGGCCAGGCACGTGTGCATGTGTGCCCAAGACTCCAAGAGGAGAACAAAGAAGAAGGGATTGCAGCGTGACCATCCTCCCTGGGGTGATTTCTCAATTTCTGTCTCTCTGTCTCTCTCTGTCTTTCTGGTGAGTGCACTCGCCCTATAGCAAAAATCTCTCCAAAAAAAAAAATAATAATAATTACAAGTTTGTACCCTTTGACCTACCTCATTCTCCCCTTCCCTGCCTCTGGTGACTACCTTTCTACTCTCTGCTTCTATGAGCTTGACTCTCTTAGATTCAACGCATATGTGAGATCATGCAGTATTTGTCATCCTGCATCTGGTTTATTTCATTTAGCATATTTTCTGCAATCATTTGTGTCACCAGCAACAGGATTCCCTTCTGTTTTTAAGGCTGAATACATTAGAAAAACCGAGGTCACAGCTGTGGAACCTTCTCAGCGCTTTCTCGGTGATCAAGGAGCTTGGGTTTAAATCTCTGAGGGTGCTGGAGAGACGCGTGTATGGCACTGAGTCAACATCGTGCGCGTGTTGGGAATCTGAGCTGAGCTACCACGCGACAGCTCTCCCAGGTTCCCGATTACAGACATGACTCAAGAAGAGAACCCAAGTACATGAGGAATCTCAGGGCTCCTGTTGATTGGGAGGATTGATTGTGTGCAGAATTTCGTAGTTAACACAAACAGCTCAGTATAAGAATGATGACGTAACTCAGTGGTGCAGGAGACATTCTTTCAGTCTGTGTAGTAACTCTTTACAGAACAGGTTTAAGGTGACTTAACTGAAATGCACATGCAGTGAGAAGTATCAGATTCTGACTGAATCAAGACATGTTTCCAACAATAATTCATACATTTTATTTTTTTAACGAGGGATTTTTGCTATAGGACTTATGCATCCGCCAGAGAGACAGAGAGAAAGTGAGAAATCACACACACACACCCCAGTGGGGGGGTGCCATGATGCAATCCTTTCTCCTCCATTCTCCTCTCGAGATTTTGGGCATGCACATACACTCACCTAGTGTGAGTTTAAGCCGCCAGGTCCAGGACTCGAACCATAGTCAACTATGTGGGAGTCTAGTGGTGTAACCATTACACCATCTGCTGGTCTCACAATAATTCATACTTAAGAAAAGAAGATGCTATTAGGAAATCATTAAAGGACCAGGTAGCCACATACAGACTGTTTCCATCTTGTGTCAGTAATACTCATAGACATATCTTTCTAGTTTAAATGCAGGCTCTACTTTTAATCAGAACTATTATATGGATCCATTTTGCCTGATACTTTAGGTAAAGGATATAAATCCCTTTTTTTCATCTTGAGTTGGGCTGTAGTGTGCGTGCACTCACCTGTGAGAGAAACAGAGAGAAAGAAAGGGAAAGGGAAAAATCACCAGCCCGAGTATTGCCATACAGCAATCCCTTCTCCTCCATTTTCCTCTTGGGATTTTGGGCATGCCTGTGCCGGGCATGTTTTTCAAGTCTCAGACGGCAGAGTCAGTCATGTGGGATCCAGCCACCTTCACCACACCACTGGCTGAGCCCCAAAGATTGCAAATTCTCTACTGGTTTGGTTTGGATTCTGCAACTCCGAGTGTAGAAAGCCCTGCAAAACTTTCTTATGCACAAGATTCCTCCAGGCCATGCTGTGTCGGGAGCCCCACTTCTTGTTGGGTATGTGGGGCAGGGACCAGTCTGACTTAGATACAATATCACTGCACTGCATGACAGAAGAATTGCTAATGGTGTTTTGTTCCTTTGCCTTCTTCTTCCAGATAATATTATCAAGAGGATATTTAATATTCTGAAGTTCACCTGGGTCCTGTTTCTGGCAACAGTGGATAGTTTCACCACTTGGCTCAACTCCATTTCAAGGGAGCATATCGATATATCTACAGTCCTGAGAATTGAAAGGTGCATGCTGACCAGAGAAATTAAGAAGGTATCACTGTGGATATCACTCTTCTTTTGCTTCTTCCACATTAAAAAGATTTAAAAAGTCAATATCTAAAACTTCAAGTAGGATAAGGCAAAATTCTTTCTTTCTAGCCAGTTTTTGCATAACTCTTCTGCTTTTTCATATATTAAAATCTGTTTCATATTCAGAAGGAAAATAATCAGCACACACACCCCTAGTCCTGGGATATTGGCTAGCTTAATCATATATTCCAGAATCTCCCCTTACTGAAGTTTGCAGTTACACCTACTCTGAAAATCCTAAAAAGGATTCCAGTTTTAGTCTATGAAGTTTGATCTGAATTTCTCATAGGAAAAATTAGGATATATGCAGAGTAATAGAGTATAGTTGTATATGGTTTATAGATTTTATTTAAAAATCACTGCTTATTTCTGGAAAGGTTCTTATGATTTAGCAAAATTATCTACATAAAAGAAGGGATCACTTGTTTAAAATTGCCTAATGAGGTTGGATACTTTTAACTTGTGGCAATGTCTCCTCCTCTACAGGGAAATGTTCCGACCCGGGAGAGCATCCACATGTACTATCAGAACCACATTATGAACCTGTCCAGGGAGTCAGGGCTGGACACAATTGACGAGCGACCTGAGACTGCTTCAGGTGCACAGACTGCCCACAGGATGGACAGCTTAGACTCCCATGACAGTATCTCCAGGTATTTCACTTTCTAAACAATGGTTTTGCTTTTGACAAAGGTAAACAAGGTGGACATCATCAAATATGAAAAATGAATGAAGTGAAAGTTAATCAGAAGCAAGCATGATTCCACCACTCTCTTTAGGTTGTCTCCATCTACATGACAGAGTAAAAGGAATATCATGCTCTCCTAGACTGAAAAAAATCAAAGCAGACATCAATAGTAAACTATTAGAAATACTTGTAGGATTCACAGGGACACCATAGAGAACTCCAGGGTGGAGGCAAATAACAGTGATCCTTCTCAGTCCCCAAGTTATTATTTGTATACCTTACAGTTCACTATAGCAATTTCAGAAATGATTCCGTTAGCTTCCATCATCTCTGAGTTTCACAACAGGAGTGGCAGGTGACACGTGGCTGAGGGTTGCTATGCACTGAGCATTCTCTACGGGTCAGAACCAAGAACTGCACAGGGTTACCACATTTTATCCCTGAAGGCCTGGTGAGGTGCATGCTGTTACCCCAGTTTCACAAAGACAAGGTTCAGTTCCCGAGAGGTTAGGAAATATACCCAATACCACACAGCTAGCAAGTATATAAGAGCAGTCCCAGAAACCAAAGTCAGGCTCTCGACTACTGTGGTAAGCCTCTCATCACCTCTTTCTGCACTCCAGGCCAACCTACTGGCTTTGTAAAATGGTGTTCACCTGCCGTCAATTGCAGAATTAAAGCAGAAGTCTGTATTAGGAGGAAACATTCCATTGCCTAGGGAATTAGCTATACTGAATGAATTATACCTTATATACAGGTATCTTCATGGGTAAAGAACTCTATCACTGAGGATGTTCATGTATTTACTTCAGTCATTAAACATGTCAGAAAGCACCTGTTCTAAGCCAAGAGCTTGATTCTGGGACAGACACATAAATAAAAGAGTATTCCTCTATGTGGTTTAAAGAATCTCTAGGATAAGGCCACTGTCTCCTAAAACTCCTGTCATAGTGAGGGCGGCAGGGACTGCATGTTGACTCCTGGTCTAGAGGCTGCCAAATTGCTTTGGAATCATACTTTATACACTGAACAAGGCACTAGTGGCTCGTAAGAGTATTTGTCCTTCACAAATACTAAATATAGTTCCACACAAAATAGAGGAGGGAACTGAAGCCATTGTATCGAAATGAAGCCCAAAATAAATAACTGGACATTGAAATTGAAATCTGAGCAGGGAGAGGCAGGTATTAAGAAGTTTTACCTTGAAGTGCTATTTTTAATTGTTGCTGAATTGCAATATTTGAGTTTCCCTAATTGTGTTCATTCTTGTGTTACCTTAAAAATATACTGACACAGATTTATATTTATTAGCATGGAAAGATACACATATATATGTGTATATGTACATATATGTGTATATATATATACATGCACACACATACATTTTTTAGAGAAAGATCTAGATCTTTCTCTAAAAAATGTATGTGTGTGCATGTATATATATATACACATATATGTACATATACACATATATATGTGTATATGTACATATATGTGTATATATATATACATGCACACACATACATTCATATATATGTGCACAACATTAAGTTTTAAAATAGTATATATACTAACATCTCACTTCTATTTATTAAAAAATATGTATTCTTGCATATATTGACTTAAATGTAATGTTTGTACAGATAAATCTGCATGGTTATATCCCTTCTTGTCTTTTCAAAATAACTTTTAATTCTTTTAAAGTCTCTTGAAGGATAATAAAAGATATTATATGTTTCTTTTATTTAAAAATAATCTTTGCTTATTTGTAAGTTCCAGGACACAGATATTTCAGCTATTATATATTTGTGTGCAAAGCAGCAGCATTTAGGATAGAAACCATTCAGGGTTTCGTGGTCTAAACATTTATTTCCTAATTGAGATTCTGTTTAAGGTGTTTTTAATTCCTAGAATAAAATAATTGATTGTTAGAATTGTTATTATTCTGTGCCAGAATAATAAAACTTTCTTCTTCATTCTCATTCCCAAGCATATGCACATTTCTCAATCATTAATTTCTAAAACCATTTGTAAATTTTAAAAATTACAAAGAGAAATTCTAATATGATACCCTTTGACTGGTGAAGACTGTATTAAAACAAAAAGTCATAGTTTATTAGTTTATTTGGAGACTTTGTGTGTGTGTGTGCATGCAAACTATACCAACTGTTCTATTTGAAAGGTGTAAGCCCTCCTTAATTCATCCTGGTTGCACCAATTTTTCTGTATCTATAGGCTAATGTAATTCAAACCAAATTGTTCTCTCTTTAGTTCATTTAATACAGAAACTTAAAATCTATTCCCCCCATTCTTCATAAGCTCTTCATATTCCAAATTATCTTTGGTAGCTCTTTCTTAATAATGAGTAAAACTGCATGGATAGGTGTGCAAAAGTGTGCAGATGTATACCACGGATGGTGGGAGGGAGCAAGATTTGTCTGCAAGTAGAGGATACTAGAGATACTGACAAATGCTGCTTCCTAGTTACAGGAGTGAATGAAGGCAGACTGGGAATCTGAAAGTTTCCAAATCCACCTGCATTAGAACATGTTCACAACCAAACAGCCAATTTTTTTTTTTTTTTTTTTTTTTTTTAAGGAGGGGAAATGGTAGGATGAGAGAAATGCTGAGATTCTCTAGAGGTACATTTTCCAAATGCTGTTTTTTTATTTGTTTGTTTATTTTTGCATAATATTTTCAAATGCCCCACTATCCTCAACTTTGGACAACGTTGCTCAGTATATATTGAATATGAACAGGGTCTGACTCAAACCGTATTTTCAGTTTTTATTGATTCCAACTCGAGTTTAGACAGCTCAGGTTACTTAACTGAAAGTCACGTTCATATTCAAGTAGAATTATTTTCTCACACTAAGTGAAGAATATAATTTTATGCATGTGTAGTACATAGTTCGATTATTGTACATTTGCATCTTTTCTTCAAGAAAATATGCTTCTCCATAATGTGATTCATCATATTTTTGAATGACCTTTTTTTTAACCACCCTTTCTTGCCCTACTCTACAATACAGAGATTTTTCTGTCACCTGGCTTGGCAAGCGAAAAGGGGTGTGATTGCATTAGTCTTTTGTCCTTAATTTGTGATGAAACAAACACTGATTGGTAACATGAACCTCTTTTGAAATTTCATAAACCTATGTGCTGTCTCCCAAAGAGGAAAAACACACATAAATTAAAAATCCCCATCAAATGTCAAAAGTTCCATAGACCTCCTGAATATCGTAATGAGCCTCACTTGAGAATAGCTGCCCCAGAACCAGATTCAAAGAAATTCAGAAGGATAGTAGAAAGTAGACTGGAAATAATTTTTCTAGAAAATAAGCATTCATGATTTCTGTATGCATGGCATTTAAGTCCATAGTCATTTACGATTTTCCAATTAAGAAATCAATCACATATTATAAATTACAACTTAAAAGGAAAAGAAGGAGAAGGAAAAGGACTAGTTGAAATAAAATCAAGTGTCTGCCTTTAAATCTGACTCGGATTACAAATATAAAACCATACCCATGATCAAAATTGGTAAGGTAGGAGATATTTAAATGTATTAATTGCTTTTTAACAAGACTATCAAAATGTCCCCCAAATTATAAAATGGCCAATCAATCAATTTCCTGGGAAATCAGAACCTTTAAAATTAGTTCTTAATGTAATTTCACTTTGTTTTTCAAACCTAAAGGAAGAGAGGACACACAAGGTCCATTTTGCTGTGAGTAAATGGTTAACATACTTGTTCTTTTCTCAATGGCTGAGTCCCATTTCTGGTTTGTCTACTTTGGAAACTTTCAAATATCCAAATAATAATTTGTCTACACCAGACTCTGAGGAAGCCAGGCTGCCTGCTGGAAAAAAGTTCACACTCAGACATCTGTGTCATTGAACAGAGTCTGGCTGACCCAGAGGCTGCATTCCCCAGGAGTCTGTGTTCCCTTTGGCTTACTGTAATAGTCATGATTCCCCCAAAAGAAGTTGTAAAATAGCAAACATTTTTTTAATGGTTACTTTATGAAATCAGATTTCATTCGTCTTCCTGGAAAACATATTAGCTGAAATTGCTGCAAGTCTCATTAGTTACACTCTAAGGAGCATCTCCAGATGGGAAGGGGTGGTATCATTTCAAACATGTCACCTAAGAGCTTGCTGTGTGGCCATGTGGTTGAATCATCACCCAGTAGTATCTCAGTCCAAATCTGCCATCATTCCTTCCCAACTGGCACCCTTTTGATATCAGGAGAGGAGGATTGAGCCAATGGGTTCTCTCTTGAATGACATTCACCAAGGCCTTAAACAAGATCCAGAATAAGGATTAGGCAAAATGAGAAGTAAACAGGTAAAATGAACCTGGCATTGCTAAAATTTCTTTATTTTCTTTACCATTTTGCTTATTTTTCGATGTTGGTTTATATTCAGTTGTATATAAAACCAGCATCTTTTCTACATGCAAGGCATCTCGTTTGGCTTAACTGAATATCACTCGGAAATGGGGTGGAAAATTCAGTTATGTAATTCCTGAGCTTCCTTCTTTCATTTGGGAGACCAGGTTAAACAAAAAAAGGAAAAAAATCTAAATCTCTTCATAAACTGTACATGAGCCATTATTCCTTCCTAAGCAATTTGGCTTATAAATGCTCTCCATGAGTTCAAGATTGTGATCTCAAAGAAAGCATATTTTCTTCATGAAAGAAAAATGCTTTGCGACATTACAATGACATAAATAATGCTTTGTGAGAGAAATATTGGGACTTGTCGTTCTATTTTCCTATCCCACTTAGTGCCATTTCATGTTATCACTAGCCTATGTGTTTTTTAAATTCCAGGACTGCTGAGTTTTATGGTCCTGCTAAACAGCTCCCTGTTTGTCCTGGAGCCCAGCTGCAGTGGTCGTGGTTGTTGGTGGTGTTGGTGTTGTGTGTGGTCTACTGCATGGCCGTGTGTTCGTGTAACCGATGTACCACTGGTGTTTTAACACTGTGTTTCTGTAACTGTTTGCGCTGCTAGCTGCTACACTGAAGCAACCATGCTGTTCTCAAGGCAGTCTACCCTTGATGATTTAGATGGACCAGAAACTGTTCCTAAAACAAGCGAGCGTGCTCGGCCTAGGCTCCGTAAAATGTTCAGCATGGATGTGTCCTCCTCATCAGCTGACAGTAGCAGTTTAGCATCAAGGTGCTTAACTTGTGCATGCTTTGTTCTGTGATTTTACCACCTTTTCCCCCTTTAAGTCACTGCAAATATAAGTTCTTGTGATGTATGTGATTTTATTTTTACTTTTTTTTTTAAGAATTTGCATGACTAATAAAAGCATAACCACTGCTGTTTCTCAGACTTCATTGTTCCCAGGACAGCATTATATTAAACTAACCACACCTTCGTTTGTGTGAGTTAGGAATTTCTTAAAAATCCTTCGTATAAACACTGTCCTCCATTTCTGAAGTATTTCACATTTCTTATGTTCAAAAATAGAAGCACATTTCCTCCATGATTTAGAGGTTTGTTGGCAACCCTGAAATTTGTCAGGAAAAGGGAGAACACTTTTTCTCATGATTTAGTCAAAAGCAACATGCAGTAATAACAATCTCCCTTATAGAGTCATTTTTAGTTGCTACAGGATAAATCCGTGCACTCCTTATATGTGTAACTGACTTAAAAGTCAGAATATATTTTACCTTGGCTTTGACAAGAATATTATTAGGCAGCAGAATATATATCACCCTTCTAGACTATAACTTGTTTTGTTCAGGGGAAAATTACTTGGGCTTAAGTTTTCTTATTAAGTTCCACCATTAAACAATAATCGTTCAAAAGTGAAATTATTCAGAGACAAGCCAAAAAGTCTTGTTATGGATTGCCCTACAATGGTCAGCAGGCATCAGCTACACTGTGTTTATCCTCACATGAAAATAACCCAATCCAAAGCCAGTGTTATTTTGATTGCCCACAGAGATAAAGCAGAGAAGTGTCATCTTTTTACTGGTAGGTTTGGGCGCAGTGCTGCAGCATGTTCGGGCCTGGCATTGATGAGAATGCCAACGTCATTTGAGATGTTCTTGAGCAGCCACACACCTGCTATGCCATTCCACTTGGTTGAATTCCAAGATACCCTCAACCCTCTCAGGGCCAGATGTGATCCCAAGCCCTAGAGATTGGTTACAATCATACTGAAAGTTAGACCTGGTATGGAGTTGATTCCAGTGACCTGAAAATTCCCTGAGATTATAGCCTTCCTAGGAAGCTATATATAATTGAGATAAGTCTTAGCAAAAATCTGGTTTGGTCCCTCATTTCGAGATCTTTTTACCTGAGGTGCACACTTAGGGCCAAAGCTCTATGGAGCTTAAACACCTGAGTGAGCAATCAGGGCTTAAGCAAATCTGGTACCTCAGTCATAGGATGCCGTGAAGGGCTCTCTAAAGTTCATTCTTTCATTCACTCACTGACGTGTCTATGCTGGTATCTATGATGAGAAAATGCGTGCACTCTGTGCATTTGAGAATGTCAGTGTTTATGAAATCTAGCTGCTCACATGTGCCATTAAGATATCTACGCATACTTCAGAGTCTAACAAAGTATCCCTTACATCCACCAGATTCCCAATATCTGGATAGCTTTTACCCCATCCCCTTTGGGGGCTGGATGCATCAATAAAAGACATGCCATGATTTCACTGTGTGGCTGCTCCATTTTCATTTCCACACCTGAAAAGGGAAAGTTAGAAGACAAAGGAATAAAAGACGAAGGGGAAGGATATAAGAGAGAAGAGTAGGGGGGCTTGTGGCAATCAGAGTAGAGAAATTTTTGGAAAAGGAGCACCGGAGGAGGAATTAGTAGAGAAAAGTAAGTTGAAGTTGATGGAGGTGACAGAACAAGAGTAGATCCTGGGGTGGAGCAGTCAACTAAGAGGGAGAAAGGCCAAGGAGAAGTGATACTGGGGAAGAGAAAACAGCTGGCCTGCCACACTGGGAAGACGAAATAGCTGACACGTCCATGTAGAAGGTGAAGAACTCAGAGACATGACTGGGAGCTGGAGGGGTGGTGGAAATTCAGCCAAATGTAATACACGCCAACAAGAAACAGGTAAAGTATGGAAACACAGGGAAGAGAAGCAAATATTAAAGGAAGAAGGTGACAATTCTTATAAAGCATGCAATTGTTTAGTTCGGCCAGAATTTAATCATTCCTGGCATCCTTTTATGGATCTGGGTGGGTCGGTTGTGTGGGACTCAGAGCAGACTATACCTTGGTCAAAACCCGCATATACTTGAACAATCTGGCATAGCTTCTCATTCCCACATGCACTATTCTTTGAAGAAGATGGAAAGGTAGGTTTGCTGTGCTAACTGTGATTTGGAAATCAACCCTGGAACTCACGGCTATGAATCTTGGTCCTATTAACAGACTCTCTGTGCACACCCCAGTGCTGTCCCTTGTGAGCCATGTGACATGCTCTGGTTTTAAACTGGGCAGGTGGGCACTGCAACTTTTGCATTTGAGAGACTGCCGTTCAGTTTCTACAGACTAGAATAAGTATCCTGAAGAAATGAACAGATGGAATGCAGAATAATCTGGGGTATTTCATGTTCTTTCATGCCTTGATGCTTTTATTTGGGAGTTCTGATGAGGTCTCCTGGGAATCTGGAAAGATTCCAAGAGTGCAGATGCTAAGTTCAGGGCCTCTGCCCGTCCTTCTCTCCTCACAGTGAGCCCACACAGTGTACCATGCTGTACTCACGCCAGGGGACCACTGAGACCATCGAGGAAGTAGAGGCTGAGCAGGAAGAGGAAGTGGTGGACGCTGAGCCCGAGCTCGAACTTGCGGAGGCCAAGGAGGAGTATGAGACCGAGTATGAAGTGGGGGTGGAGGAGGCTGGCCTCACTCCTGAGGATGAGCTGCCCCAGTACTCCACCATGGATGGGGACGTGGAGGCACCACCCTCCTACAGCAAGGCCGTCAGCTTTGAGCACCTTTCCTTTGGCTCTCAGGATGACTCTGGAGCCAAGAACCACATGGTGGTCAGTCCAGATGACAGCCGCACCGACAAGTTGGAGTCGAGCATCTTACCTCCCTTGACTCATGAACTGACAGCCAGTGAGCTGCTGCTGAACAAGTAAGAGTCCAGTTCACGGGTCAGATGTCAGATCCAGATGTCACCACTTAGATGCATGCTCTGATTTAGCATGGGGTAAAACCCGTTTGTTAAAAAAAGTTCATCTTGGAACCAGCAAATGGCATAATGGCTACGTCTCTGGACTCCCATGTTGTCGATTGTGATTCAAGTCCTGGATCCAGTGGCTTAAACTCACACCGGGCGTGTGTGCATGTGCGCCTAAGATCCCGAGAGGAGAATGGAGAAAGGATTGCGGCATGGTCATCCCCCCTGGGGGATGATTTCTCGCTTTCTGTCTCTCTGTCTCTTTCTATCTTTCTGGCAAGAGCATGTACCCTATAGCAAAAACCTCTCAAAAAAAAAAAAAGAAGAAGTTCATCTAGACACTTAGATCAGATATGCCAAGGGTCTTCAAATAGTTCAAAGTAAATGCTTACCATGAAAAAAAAAAAAAAAAAACAAAAAAAAAACCAAAACTATGTGTAGGCTTTTTTTTTCTTTTTCTTTTTCTTTTTTTTTTTTTTCTGGCACCAAAATAAACTCGTAGTTTAATCCCATTTTCCATGAACTTTTTGAAGTTTCATGGTGTAATTTCAGTCTCTCTTACACTGAAAACACACCTCAGTCCATGACCACATGGTTAGAACCAGCAAAAATTGTCTATTGACACTTGTACTGGTATTTTTTTTTATAATAATGTCCTATATTAGGTAGTCTCCAAAAGAAGTACACAGACAAAGTAAGTGCCAGGGAGGGGAGCAGAGCTGGCATGATCATGGTAAATGAAAATCAGTCATTTGGAGACATGGAAGACCAAGGTATTATGCTGTGTTGACTTTTACAGGATGTTTCATGATGATGAGCTAGAAGAGTCAGAGAAGTTCTATGTGGGCCAGCCACGGTTCTTGCTGTTGTTCTATGCCATGTATAACACGCTGGTGGCCCGCTCGGAAATGGTGTGCTATTTTGTGATCATCCTCAACCACATGGTTTCTGCCTCCATGATCACCCTCCTGCTCCCTATTCTCATCTTCCTCTGGGCCATGCTGTCTGTCCCCAGGCCCAGCCGAAGGTTCTGGATGATGGCCATTGTCTACACTGAGGTAAGCCTCCCTGCAGATCACTTTGGCAGTTCTATTTGAGAAAAGGCACCACTGTGGCCCTGTGCCCTCTCTAAGTGGGCCTGACCCTGAACAGTTTCCCATGACACAGTTAGTTCCATGGATAGTCTTACATATGCAAATGATTATCACCAAGAGTTATCTAGAGGAGCAATTTTATATATCATGTCACACTTCATAGCTCACACAAAATAAACACTAGTACCATTCTCATCCAAAAGATGCTGAACAAGCTTCAAGCAGATTTAGTAATTAGCCCAAAGTTACTCAACTGGCAAGTGAGGGGAGGGAGGAGGCCTTTGAAGCCCAGTTGTCTGATCTATAATATTACCCACTCAGATGGTGACAGTTTTACTCAGAAGTAAGCGTGGTGCCTGGGACAAATGAGCATTCCATAATTGGACGCTGAATTAAATGACACAATAAAGCACTTGGAATATAGTTTGATGCAGCATACATATTTTCCATTTTCAACCTAAAAACAGCTTCTGTACATCACAACACTAAGTTACATGAACACCCACTTCAAACCCCTGAACAGTGGAAAGGGCAAATTGCCAGCTCATTGTCATCCCATGTGAGGAGATGAGGGGAATCTGCTGAATCATATCAACCTGCTCTCCTGTATCGCCCCATTAAATACAGAGGAGATCATCAAACTTGGGAGTAAAAGGAAGCTCAATAGACTTTGTGCCTCAGGCTTCATGGTTCTTTGCATTCTTAGGTTTGTGAAGAAGGCTGATTTTCTTCCCTGACTCCTACAGAGAATCAGGGAAGAAAACAGGAGAGAAGTTTTCACTTTCAACAGTTTTCTAATTACTTTTTAAAGGATGATGACATGCAAGAAAGGTGTTTATAAAGGTTATAAACTAAAATAATTCATAAAATATAAAGATATAAATATGTTTCTGTCCAAGTTTGTCTTAATTATCACATTTTAATAGCTGAAAAATTATATAAATGTCTAGTTAAATCAACGGAAAGTCAATGCCTCCAAAATAGAGGAAATGACTATTTGTTTAAGTAAAGACATAAGTGAGCTGACTGGCCTTGCCATTTCTATTGGGTGGTTGGAAAAGTCCTGATGCATTTTTGCATAGAAAAATATATCATGACTTTTCCGACAACCCAATACAATTGAAGGCACTTGCCTCTCTGTTTGTTCTCTTGCTATCTTTCTCTATCCTCTTCTCATCACCCTCCCCCCCATTCCACACTGTCTTATCCTTGTTAATTATTTTCACTGCTTTTATGTCCTCCAATATTTCACTCCCTACCATAGAGTGAGGATGGTGGGTATATATTAAGTGGATACATACAATATCTTTCTTTCATAGCCTGGCTTATTTCACTCAGCAACAGATCCTCCATATCTGACCACTTTCTATCAAATGTCAGGGTCTTGTTATTTTTTATGGCTGAGTAGTATTCCATTGAGTATATATGCCACACTTTTCTGATCCATTCATCAGTTTGTGGACATTTAGGTTGGTTCCATGTCTTGGCAATTGTGGATAATGCTGCAATAAACATTGATGTGCAAGCACTTTTCCAACTGAGCATTCTCCTGTCCTTTGAGTAGATACCCAGAAGTGGGATTACTGGGATCTGTAGATCTTTAAGGAACCTCCATACTGTTCTGCACAGTGGCTGAACCAGTTTACATTTCCATCAGCAGTATAGGAGAGTTCCTTTTTCACCACATCCCCGCCAACACATCACTTTTTATATTCTTAATCTTTGCCATTCTGGCAGGGGTTAGGTGATATCTCATTGTGGTTTTTATCTGCATCTCCCTTATGATGAGGGATGTTGAGCATTTCCTCATAAGATTTTTGGCTGTTCGTATGTCTTCCTTAGAGAGAGTTTTCTTCAACTCATTTTCCCATCTTTTAATTGGGTTAATCATTTTTTTTTTTCACATAAGGCACTTGAGTTCCCTGTGTATTCTGGTTGTCAGTCCCTTGTCTGAGGCATATTTAACAAAAATATTTTCCCATTCTGAAGGTTGTCAATTCACACTTGTTACTGTGTCCTTTGCTGTGCAGAAACTTCTTAGTCTGATATAGTCCCATTTGTCTATTTTAGGGATTATTGCCTGTGCTTTGGGAGTCTTATTTAAGAACTCTTTGCCTACTCCAATGTCTCCCAGAGTTTCCCAAGCATTTTCTACCACTAGTTTTGTTGTTTTAGGTCTTAGGTTCAGATCTTTGATCCATTTTGAGTTAGAGAGGCACGACATTAGTGGGACACAGATATGGTTTATTACCTGTTGATGATGATGTGTATAGTATTCTCAACTGGATTGGTCTGAGAAGTATTTCATGATGGGTAAAGTCTTTTCACAAGCAAAATGAGAGATAGTGATTGACTGGTTAAAAAAATAATTGGAATAATAATAACAATGATTGGGAAAAACAATGAAAAGATATTGAACGGTGAAGTGGGGATTTTAATGTCTCTGTATTGACTGACATGCATGGCATTCCCTTTTGAAAAAGCAACTTAATACACTGTAAAATTATATGTGATTCAATGTAATATAAACAAGATTATGATGATAATAAATAAAAAAAAGACACAACAATAAGACATTGCTCTCGTAAGGTCAGTAGTCTGTGACAATGATATTATTCCACAAAACTGTGTGCATTCCTATGATCAAAACTGTGAATGTTTTTTCTTCATTTTTCTATTACTGTTTCTCATATACATATATATTATTCCTAAGAAAAGTAATTTTTTCAAATGTCTATCTTCTACAAATAGGTGGCAATTGTAGTCAAGTATTTCTTCCAATTTGGCTTTTTTCCTTGGAATAAGAATGTGGAATTGACCAAAGATAAACCTTACCACCCTCCAAATATCATAGGAGTGGAAAAGAAGGAAGGTTATGTGCTTTATGACCTCATCCAGCTCCTGGCTCTGTTCTTCCACCGATCAATTTTGAAGGTACTGCGTGTTAACAGTTAATCAGTTCGTGTTGGTCACTGCAGCCCTGCAATATGCCTGGCGAAGCTGAACAGTAGCATTGGTGATCAGGCTGAGGGGCCAGAGGCTGTTGTATTTTTTTAAAAGGTTATGTTCATTTAGTGGACATTTTTACTGTGGTGGTAAATAATGAAACCTGTAATAAATCTGGAATAAATTTTCTCCATATTTCTACCCTAGGTTGGGTATATTACGACTAATATACATTCATAGAATATTGCTTGAATGGTGTGCAATATCATGATACCTGATGCTCTACATTTTAGCCCTAGTTTAGCTAGAACACCAGAGCGTTTCAATTAAAGGTGAATAATAAAAGGTCTCTTCAAAAAATTTCAAGAAAAATCAACATTACGAAAAATCTATGCATAGGTTTCAACTTCTTTTTGCAAAAATAAACTTGTACTTTTTTTTTTTTAGGTTTTTGCTATAGGGTGCGTGTGCTTGCCAGAGACAGAGAGAGGAAAAGTGAGAAATCTCCCCCCTCGGGGGGCAGGCCATGCCACAATCCCTTCTCCTCCCTTCTCTACTCAGGACCTTTGGAACAAACACACACGTGCCTGGTGTGATTTTCCAGCTGCCTGGTCCGGGGCTTGAACTATATAGTCAGCCATGTGGGAGTCTAGCACCTTGATCCTATGCCACCTCTGGCCCCTAAGCTCATACTTTAATTCCACTTTTCTAGGAACTTTTTGAAGCCCTTCATATTGCCTCTCATCTCTATCCCAGCTTCTGCCTGCTTTCTTCTGGTAGATCATTTTATTGGATAGTTTCATGTGATGCAACCATTAGCTTTCAGTGAGAGATCACTTATCCAATGACTCCATGAATCCCAGAGCTGTGCTTCCTGTAAGCTCCTTGCTGAGAAAGCCATCCATGACCATGTGGGAAGAACTCTATGCAGAATGACCCCACCTCAGGTTCAGTGACTCTTGCCCTCCTCCACCCTGAGCAGTGATGTTTTGGTTTTGGTTTTAGTTTTGTTTTTCTCACATCCTATGACTTATAAACTAAGTCTGTAAATATGCCATCCAACTCTAATAAATAGAAATTATTACATGGTGTATGTTCTGTATTCATGTATCTGTTGTCACAACCTTACTTTTTTATTCTTATTTTAACTCTCTATCCTTTTATAAAGTATTTTACCTTTATCAAGTAGTGTTTAATTAGTCCCTAAGATCATTCTTAGAGTTAGGTTTGGCCTTAGTTAACATACACATACATCTGTCGGACCAGCAGTTAGCGTAATAGCTATGTCGCTGGACTCCCATGTAGTCGACCGCAGTTTGTGTCCCAGACCTGGTGGCTTAAAACTCACGCCGGGCGCATGTACGTGCGTGCCCAAGATCCCGAGAGGAGAATGGAGGAGAAGGGATTGCGGCGTGGCCATCCCCCCTGGGTGGTGATTTCTCGCTTTCTGTCTTTCTGTCTCTCTCTGTCTGTCTAGCGAGTGCACACACTCTATAGCAAAAAAAAAAAAAAAAAACTCTTCACATACATCTGCCTACATATATGCACATGCATACATATAACAGTGTGTTTAGCTTCTGCCCTAGCTCAGTGGGCTATTTCAAACTGTATATACACTGGTCGAGATCCTTACTCTATCTTTCATCACTTTGCAAAGTCCCCAAATCCCTAGACTTCATTCTGAAAGCCTTACCTTGGTCAATGGGATGTGGTGAGTTTGAAAAAGATGTATTATCAAAGGAAACAAATTAGCCAAGAAGAATTAGCCTAAACTTTTCAGTTATTTTGCTGTATATGGTAATTACTTGAATTTATCCAATTTGCTCATTCTTGTTATGACTATATTAATAAGTGTGCTAATCTAGAAATTTTTAAATTTAACAAACCTGATGGTGCAATTCTGGCCACTTCAGAATTTTCTGGCAACTTTTGCATCTTATTGTTTGTAATTAAAAATTTTTATGTACCTTTAGGCATTTTCACTTTATTTTCATCAATAGTCAAGTGGTTTAACAACTACAAATTGATATTTAAAGCCTGTAATTAACAAGATTTTGGTTTTACTATTGATGTACTTACTCTGGTTTCTTTTTTGAAAATTTTACATATGTATAGTGAATGTACATGAGATTTGAAGTACTGATAAAATACTAAAATTTCAACTAATGATAAAATAGTTTTTAGAATGATAAATCTTTTCATAAGAAGACAAAACTATCCTAAAGCTCTTGAGCTCTTGTAAAAAAAAAAAAAAAATCTTGGCTACAGCATTGCTATGAAAACCAAACAAAACTATGTAGAAATTTCAGAAGTGCCTCAAACTATCTTACTCAGTACTAATCTCTACAAATTTTATAAGTACTTAAAAGAAATAACATGAACCAATATGCTACTGAGAACGTGGTGAAAGAATCTGAATATGTTAAAATGTTGGCAAAAGACAATTGTTTTAATTATTTGAAAGAAATTCATATAAACTGAAAAATCTCATTATAAAAGAGTAACTAATATGTAATAAAAATAAGTTCATTTAATATGTCAATTAGGTAGCTATCCTTTGGTGAATTGACCATTCTCTAAGTTGTTTTTTTACCAAAAAAGCTTTTTTTAATTATTGATTTTTATTTCATACATTTCATCACTATCGTCACTTTGCTTGTAAGTTGAATTTACTCAACATGAATACAATTCACATCAGTCCCATTGAGGACACAAAACACATAATCATCCACAGATGTTAACCCATTTCTGTGTCCCATAAATGTCTTGCCTCTCTATTTTCCTCCTTAATTTCTTTCCTTACACTCTCTCCCTTCTCCCACCCTCTTCCTACATTGTCTCCAGAATCTAAAACCATTTTCAATGCTTCTATGTCCTCTAATCTCTCAGTTTCCACCATCGCGTATGGACAGTTGGTACATATTAAGTGGAGACAGACAATGTCTTTCATAGCCTAGCTTGCTTCACTCAGCACACCCCCCTTGCTTTTTCATTCTTAAGGGATACATGTTATAGAACAAAACACAATGATAGACTGTCTCACCTCAAAAAAGGAGCCTTAATTGTTCTTTCCATACTTCCTCAGTGTCATGGCTTATGGGATGAAGATGACATTATTGAAAGTAGCACAGACAAGGATGAGTCTGATGATGAACTCTCCCTCGGTCATGGCAGAAGAGACTCCTCTGACTCCCTGAAGTCCATCAACCTGGCTGCCTCAGTGGAGTCCGTGCACGTGACCTTTCCCGAGCAGCAAATGGCTGTCAGGAGGAAACGTTCCACCAGCAGCTCCCAAATATCTCCGAGATCCAGCTTCTCCTCAAATAGATCCAAAAGAGGTATCTGTCACAAGGCATCCCTTGCTGGAATAACTCCCCACATTGTCTTGTTTTTCTGGTGCCTGTGGGTCTGGGGCAGTGGAGTTTTTTGGGGGTGTATTAAGGACACAGGTGATGTGAAAAGAAAGCCTCTGAAATCAGATAGACCCAAGCTCAAATTCTGCCACAGCAGTGCTACCTCATTGCTCAAAACATCTGATTCTCTCCCAAAACAAGGATTTCAGCTATTGTTGAAAGTAGTCAGTACACTGCCTCATACCTAGTATGTGTCAGACACATGCTGATTTTCATTGTTTTATTTATTTATTTGAAATGTTTATTCATTTATTCCTTCTATGAGCAAGAGAGACATAGAAAGACACACGTACACACACACACACACACACATATTCACAGGAAGACCACCCCCAACAAGATCTTGACACCACAGTCCACCCCTAACCTTTTGGCCAGGCACATTCATGGACAAGCACATGCCCAACACATTCAAGGAGGTCTGCAGTCTTGAACCAGGAACCTTCCTAAATAGGATTGCCTGGCAAACTGTTGAGGTTTACTACTGTGCCACCATCTAGCCCCATTAATTTTTAAATCATATGGAAAGATTCTGCCTGCTGTATCCATAGTGCTGTAAATCACAATTTATTTTGAAAATGCATTTAAATTTAATTAGTGAGAACCTTTAGCCAAACTATCCAGCTGTTTTCTAAGCTATTTACTAATTTCTTACTAAACAGGAAGTGCCATCAGAAGATAGTTATGCCTCATGGTTGCTGCTCTTGGAGAAATCAGGCTTTTGTTTATAGGGTTTGTGTCTGAAGCTTTCCAAACATAGTGTGTATTTCCTTTGAAAACCTGCTTTTGAGGCAGACACTGAGGGATCATGTCATATTCGTTTTACAATTAAGAAATTATATTTTAAAAGGCGTAGGTCATGGACCCCAATTTGGAAAAGCCACAATTTAGAATACTATCTAAGACTATACTGTTTTTTCAATAGATTTCTTCTTTATAAAAATTGCATAAAAATTCAGGAAAGAACCACCATTGGGTATAAAATCTCCAAATCTGTTTCACTGTAGAAGCTGAGTTGAGAGGACAGATTCCATATCGCTCAGTAACTATTCTTTTTTTGGTTTGGGTTTTTGTTTGTTTGTTTGTTTTTTCTTTCAGTTTTTGCTATCAGGTGTAATCACTAGAGAGAAAGTGATAAATCCTCCCCTACCCCCAATAGGATGGCCATACCACAATCCTTTCTTTTCCTGGGATTTTTGGGCATGCGCACATGCACACCAAGTGTGTTTTTCAAACCAAACAGTCCAGGACTCGAACTGTTTAGTAGGTCATGTGGGATCCAGCCACCTTAACCTCTGCACCACCTTCAGGACCATCTCAGTAACGATTCTTAAAGGCATCTATGTATGTTTATATATTTTAATTGTCAGAGGGTTCATGTGCTTACCAGAGAGACACACACACAGAGAGGGAGAGAAAGCACCCCTAAATCCAGCATGATCATGCCACAGTTCCTTCTCTATTTCTCCATCCTGTTGGAATTTGGGACACACACGCATGTATGCCCAGCAGGTTTTTAAGCTACTGGGGTCAGGAGTCAATCCTTGTTTGGCCATGTAAGATCTAGCTCTTTTTTTTTTTTTTCTTTTTTTGGAGAGGTTTTTGCCATAGGGCGCGTGCGCTCGCCAGACAGACAGAGAGAGACAGAGAGACAGAAAGCGAGAAATCACCCCCCAGGGGGGATGGCCACGCCGCAATCCTTTCTCCTCCATTCTCCTCTCGGGATCTTGGGCACGCACGCACATGTGCCCGGCGTGAGTTTTAAGCCACCGGGTCCGGGACGTGAACCGCAGTCGACTATGTGGGAGTCCAGCGACATAGCCATTACACTAACTGCTGGTCCCAGATCCAGCTCTTTTAACCACTCGGCTATGGAACAAGCCGCTGTGCTTGTGTATAATTTATTCTCTGAAATAGTTTCAAGTCATCCTTCTGTCATGGGGCTCCAGGGTCTGTGATATTTGTATCAACAAACCATATTCTTCACTATATATATATATATTTACACACACAAAAACACACTTTTTTTAAGCTAGAGTCTCACTATGCCACGATCATCTAACCTCAGTCCCTCAAGTAATTTGGATTCCAGGCACATCCCACCATGCCCGGCTTTTTAGGGTAATCCAGGAATTGAACCCAGACCTCCCATGTGGCCTCGACTGCCAAGCAGCAGCATCAACCAATGCACATTGCCACAGCAGAACCCACAATATATCTTGTGATTTCTTTTTCTTTCTAGGCAGCACAAGCACCCGAAACAGCAGTCTTAAAGGAAGCAGTGTTTTGAGCATTAAACAAAAAAGCAAAAGGGAACTTTATATGGAAAAGCTTCAAGAACATTTAATCAAAGCAAAAGCATTTACCATAAAGAAGTGAGTACATGAAAGCATTTTTGGATCCTGTGTTTTGTTTTAGGGCCAAGGAATCGGTATCAATTGTTTCATGTAAACCAAAGATGAAGAGCAGAACAGTGGCTCTCATAAATGTCTGCCTGCAACACAGTAAAATAATACCTTGCTTACTTTTAAAAATGATTTTTAATAAGTGTGATTCATTTTTACATCCATGGTATATATAAACACACCTTTTCTTATGCAGACAGTATAAGTGAGTGATTTCAAGGGCCCTTCCAATGTATTCCCAGGCATTATGATGGCAAAGTCCAGAGGAGAGGACTAGGACACTATAGCTGGAAGCCTCAGCGATAAACTCTCATCCTGGGGAGGGGGACTGAGGGCACTGAGGTACACAGTGGGGAAATGACCAGTCCACACAGCTGGTCCGCAGCAAACTAGGCAGTTTTCTGCCACCCACTGGGGACACATAGAGGCAGTCTGCTGTAGTTCTTGAGTGGGGTATGAATGCCAGCCACACACAGGGCTTGACCCAGAGTAGAGGCTCTGAGACCAGGAGAGCCAGCAGTACCTCAACATGACCTTAAATTGAATGCAGGTCCCAAAAAGCAACAAAGACAAGACAGCGACTAGAGAGACAAGCCAAAGCCAGCAGGACAGAGCAAGGTGCAAATAAAAGCCCAGAATGGTACTTGGGAGCCAGGGTCATCAGGCCCCAAAAAGGGAAGGAACAAGGGCAGCTGACATTCACACCTGCTCAGACCTGGCATTCCAAGTCTCAGCAGTCTGTCTTCACTCATTTCATTCTCACTCTAGCCATGTGCATCAGGTCTTATTATTACATCAGGTTTTTTTCCTTTCTTTCTTTTTAAATTTAATTTATTTATTTACAGTCATTCACCGTATATCAATACAGTATACAAAATAAGATTTTCCATTCAGAATACACTGTATATTGACTCAATCAATGATATTATCAGACATGTCATCGTCAACAAATAATTTTTAATTTCTTGTTTCTTATATATTTCACTGCCCACCCCCTTAATTCCCTATCTCTTATTCTCCACCATTTCCCATGCTCCTCCCACACTATCTCTGGTATCCACAATTGTTTTCCATGCCTTTTTTATTTCACCTTTTATTGATTCGCTAAAGATCTTAATTAATCTAAAAACTTTCAATAGCAAGCACGGCTGATACGTACATATCTATGAACACATGTCTGACTTTAGACATAAACCTCAGTGAGTAAAGTAAACATACTATAAAATAGCACCTAGCTAGGGCTATATAGCTTACTGCAGTCATTAAATAGGTATTTTTAATGATTTTTTTTAATTTCAAGAAAAAACAGTTTTAGTTTTAATAGACCAAACTCAAAAAATGTTAGGAGAAATTTGCTTAGGACTTAAATCCAGGAACAAGTTTAGGGTTCAGTTCAAACTGTAGGTAGATGAAACTACCAACAGTTCAAGAGAAGACAAAAATCTTTAAATATGGAAATCAAAGCATAGAAGAAAATCAGTAATGTTTTAGTCTAAAGTCATAAAATTCTATTTCACCAGTTCAGTCTCATGTAATTAATCTCTCTTCTGTTAAGTTTGCGGTGTTACTGTGGTCTGATCTTTCCATTTAAACTCTGGAAGTAAACATTCAAGTCTGGACTTCTCCCTACCATTAGGGTGGCCATTTTCATGGTTGTTTTTTGTACTTGGTTGTTTTGCAGAGAGAAAACTAAAACACAGCAAGCTGCACAGCACACTTGAGGTCTCATAGGCAGGGAATAACTGAATCAGGTTCCAAACTCAACACCTAATTTCTGGGGCTCTAACCCACCATCATATGCTTCAAACAAAAGAAGAGAGTGTGGAATCTTCTGCAGAGGGTAGAAGTACCTACTGTGGCAAGAAAAAAAAGAAAGAGAAAGAAAGAAAGAAAGAAAGAAAGAAAGAAAGAAAGAAAGAAAGAAAGAAAGAAAGAAAGAAAGAAAGAAAGAGAGAAAGAAAGAAAGAAAGAAAGAAAGAAAGAAAGAAAGAAAGAAAGAAAGAAAGAAAGAAAAAAGAAAGAGAGAAAGGAAGGAAGGAAGGAAGGAGGGAGGGAAGGAGGGAGGGAGGGAGGGAGGGAGGGAGGAAGGAAAAAGAAAGAAAAGAAAAAAGAGAAAAAAATATGTAGGCACTCTTTGTTAGAGCAGGAGACCTCCTCCTCGTAGGACTGTCCTGAGGCCGAGAGGAAAGTGGAACCTGGTTGGAAAAAGGAATGCAGAGGAGTGGAATGATTACCATCACAGTATCTGATGTTTATTCTTATCCTTCCTGAAATACGTGGGTCAGGGATATCTCTGTTTTGCAGGACTCTGCAAATATATGTGCCCATCAGACAGTTCTTCTACAACCTCATCCACCCAGACTATAGCGCTGTGACTGATGTGTACGTGCTCATGTTCCTGGCAGACACTGTGGACTTCATCATCATTGTCTTTGGCTTCTGGGCCTTTGGGGTAGGTTAGTGGCAAAAGCCACCACACGTCCACTGACTAAGAGTGATGGCTTCCCATCCTGTAAAATGCCACTCGGGCATAAACCTGTTTCTCTTCCCCAGAAACACTCGGCTGCTGCAGACATCACCTCTTCGCTCTCGGAGGACCAAGTCCCTGGGCCGTTTTTGGTGATGGTCCTCATTCAGTTTGGGACCATGGTGGTGGACCGAGCGCTCTACCTACGGAAGACTGTATTGGGAAAGGTCATTTTCCAGGTCATCCTTGTGTTTGGAATTCACTTCTGGATGTTCTTCATCCTGCCTGGTGTGACTGAGAGGTAAGGTCTTCAGAAGCTAGAGAAAGGAGCGTGCCTGAGA